ACTTTCTATGAATATTAGAACACTTTTACAATTGTGGCAACTGATAACGTAATTCTGCTTTTTTCGTATACAGTCATACAAAATGTTTCTCTCAACTTTTAAACATCATACATATAGTAGGATTATCTTCCAGTGAAAATAATATTTACCTGATCTTGAATTTATTAAAATATGTGTTTCGGCTTGATGTACATAAAAAAAATTAAAGTTCCAATTTTTAAACTTTCTACTGTATGTTAATTTTGATTTCTATTTACTAATTTATTTAGCATATATATCACTTCTTTTACAATTTCTTCACTTGAAGGAGAATATTTTAAGCAGTGCCATGTTCAAATTTTTAGAGACATTAACACAATATTTCAGTTTGTTACGTTAGTCTTTACTACATATTAATCACTTACATAGCAACCATTATTGTTAAAACAAATAATCAATAATGCACTGCCTAATGATTATCATAGAATAGGGAAAAAAAGGAGCTCATAAAACATACACACATCCACATTGAAAAATTATGGGTGAAAATACAGTTACAGGTTCAAGCTACACAGACACCTCTTTTAAGTTGGAGCTTAACTGATCAAGATTGTACTAAGTCCATAGTTTGCAACTACACAGAACACATATACATATGTAAATATATTTTCCAGTACTGTTTTTCATTACATACATCTCTATTTTCAGAGGCCAGTGAGTAATGTGTACAAATGATTTCCAATACACAAGTTTAATTTTTTTCTGACCCTATCTGTAAACTATTTCAGCACAAATACTATGACAAAAATTGAAATTCCAACTTTACTTAACTAACATAATTACTATAAAGGGTTTCTTAATGAAATTTAGTAAAATGATTCAATTCTAGAAACAACAAGAGATCAAAGTTCTATCATTCTATAGTGATTTTGCACATAAAGAAATTGACATGCTAACTCATAATATATTTAGAAATCCTTCTTTTATATTTTAAATCAAGTTAGTATTCTAATAGCCATTATAAAATACATACACACTTAGCCTTTTGTCTTTTTTTTTTAGAAAATGTTCATATCCACTCTAAAATACTGAAGACTAAATATTTTTTAAGTTTCAAATATACTCATATTTCTAGTTTTCTGAGAATTACTTGAAAAAAAAACTGAAAAGGACTTATGCTTTTCTAATAGTTTCTTTTATACTTTCACAATTTCTTTGTATTGCAGAGACTGCAGCAATGGCATGAGTGGTTTTGTCAAAGAATTAAAATTTTACATCATACACTGTTACCAGAAAGTCTGTCCAACTAGATGAAATCAAATGACAGTTGCACTTTTGAAAATGTATTCACTGATCCTAACTGTTGTTTTTATTTCATAAAGCTTTAGGTCTTTCTTTGCAGGAGCACTTATTTTGTTATTTGTATCAACAAAAAATACTAGTATGCTCTGACTTAACCGGAGTATGTTTTCTAAATCCATATACCAGTTGTTCCAAACTCCATATAAATGTTAAAAGTGCCAGTTTCAAAGTTGACCTGCATGTGCAATGTCTCAAACTGTTGGGAAAGTTATCAGTGCAGCAGGTGCAGAAAAAAAAGTAAGCCATAAAAGAGGTCAAAGAAGGTTTACCTCCAACAAAGATGACAATGCAAATAAGTGCCCAAAACAAAAAACAACATATATGCACTGACCAGGTATTTACAAGGATGTCCAAAAAGAAGTTCCTAATCATGAAGAGAAGAGGGTGAGGAAGGGTGATGACAATAAACAGTGTTACTGAGTTACTTACTTTTTTTCTGCTTGGCTTGACTGATGGTCATCACCTAAAACTGATGGACTTTGACACTGTGTAACTCTTCACCCAAACAGCCACCAACCTTTCTAGCTGCAGCAAATAATTCATTTATGCTTTTTCAGATTTGGTGGGGATCCTGCCCACTTAGGAAACTACTGTAATTTTCTCAGGTTAAGTCAGAGATCAACTGTTGAGAATTTCCAAATACAAATAAGTAAATTTAAATAGTTTCAAAAGTAACTTGTAAATCATGAAGGCAACCCTATACAACAAACTGACTAGAAATAATTAATGGTATAAAACAATATACCACAAAATTAAAATCTATAATAATTAGTATGTGCTGAATCATCAGATGGGTATTCTCAAGTCAATGATATTTTCTACCACATTCACTTTTATTAAAAAATCCCATTGTGATAATATAGATGCTGAATTTCCTAATTTTATCTGGTCTTAATGATCCCTATTATTGCCAAAATAAGCTAGAGGTAATACTGTAGAATAATTTATCTTAATTATATTTTAGTACTTACATAACAACACTATTAACTGTTATAGTGTATATACCTTTTGTGACAAATATCGTGATTGGATTATTATTATTATTATACACTCTTATAATTCTTGAAAATCTCTAAGGGACTAGATCAAGAATGTAGTGTTTAAAAATGTGATAGGCCTAATACTAATGTCTTATAACAAGTATATTTGTAAACACTCTTGCTTGTACACATACTACTCTTCCCACAAAAATAGTGATATTTTCTAAATTATTCTACAAGCCATCCATATGGCCTCTAAAGATTCTTTAGAGGTCTATTACCTAAGCAAATTCTAAGTGCACATCAGAATTTTATTTCTTTCCATCTAATGAGACATTATTTGCTCCTTTCTGGTGCTTTAAGTGTTGACAAGTATGTACAAAATATCAGTTCATACAAATATAATGACATCAAAAAAACATTATACTTACTACCTTATTAACTACTGAAATATCAGATAATAATGTTTGATATTCTTGTTAATATTTACAAACAAAACAAGCTCCAATTATTGGCTTCAAACACTTTACTAGATTTTTCAAAACTGAATGGAGTTTGGGGCTCTTAACACTTTTTTTTGAAAATATAAAACAATTATTTTTAACGCCCCCCTCAAGATCCAAGAGGTGTCTTTACACTAGAATTTGTTGAATATTAAAAGTAAGTTCAATCTGGAAACTCCCAAGGAGGGTGGTTTTGGATGTATATTTGAGACAACTTCGAGACATGTTTTCTTTTGTTACCTGATAAATTTTTAAGTGAAATACAGCATTCACAAGTCTCCATACTAGCTAGTACTAAAGACTACCCGCTGAGAGTAAATTCAGTAAATATCAATAAAGCCACATTCTCATCATCATTAATTAAGCAACTGTCAACCTTTTATGCTTCTGCTATCACCTTAGTATGTTTAGCTTTCAAACGATTTTACCTGCCATTCAGAGCATCATGATAGTCTGCAGTAGGATGAGCAGACAGGAACACTTTGAAAGCAGCTACAGGCATAATATTGTACTCGGCTTGTTACAGTATCTACCAAGGTGGTTCTAAATGGTTCCTGAATACCTCTGTGTGTCTCTTGGAGACTTCCAACACTGAAAGAGTGTGGGAAATACCTTCTTTTTAACCAATAAAAATGTCCAAACAATTTCAGTTCAAATTAAGAAAAACCAGATTGAGTAGTTTCTTTTCAACAAAAATGTCTCCCACTGGCTCGAGAGGGCCAGTTAATAAGCTTAACAACAACAAACAAGGGATTACAAATTCAACGGATGTATTTTGTCAAAATTTTTGGCTTTCTTCTAATACTCTAGAATTCTAGAATTTTCAATCTAATTTGATTGATGCATCTTGTATATAACTTTTCTTACTATTTTCTGTAACAATATAGGGTGGCCATATTCTTTCCAAAAGTGTTTCCCCCAACTTAAAAGGCAGATTTCAGATTTTCAAGAGCAGCACATGTGCATGCACATGATATTTCAACTTCTGCTCATAAGTCTATCTAATCAACATCACTCTAATGTATGATCTGGTTATTTTAATGGATATTAAAAATTTAAGAGCTTCAGAAAAAGATTTTCAAATATGCACCATATAACTATATGACAAGACAATAAAATGTAAGGCTATTATTTATAAAAAAAATTTTTTATCTAACTTATCAAATATAATGAATTAGACAAAATGAAAAAAAACATCTAATGAGTGATCAAGATTATGTTAAACTATACTAATAACTTGCATAGCTAAGCAGCATGGCTTGCACATGTGCAGGTTCTGAGATAAAAAAAAGGGTGGGAGGGGAAACCCATAAGTTTTCCTGAATTTTCACGTTTTGAAATATGTTTTCATTTTCCCTGAAATCTGGACTTCTTTTACAAGATCTTCGAGTTTTCTAAGTTCATGGCCACCCTGAAATACATCATAAACAACTCTAAACCAACATAAAAAAGCTATACAAGAACAATATTCATCACATTTAACATCACTAAAACAATTTTCACAAAAGAAAATAAACATTATTCAACAAATAAAAAAAAAAATTAAATAGTTACTCAAAATATTAAACTGATATAATAATCTCTCAACTGTCTAGGAGGAGAATCTCAAAAGTGCTCATCTTTCAGTTATCATACAAAACCCTTTAAGGAAAGGATTTGACTTGATTTTCTACAAGAGAGCTCCTTCATAACCATTTCCATGTATGTTATAAATTCAAAACAAGGTATCAGTTTTTTCTTTTCATATACTCCCAGACATGTTAATACAAAATCAGAATTAACACACATTTTTCTATTAACTATGAAAAATCATAACTAGATATCTTATCAAGTGATATGATGATCTCTCAATTGTCTGGGAGGAGGTTCCTGTGGATGTTATAAATTCAAAGTTAACATTTTCCTAAAATGAAAATGTATTTCCAATAATACTTACCACCCCTCACACTATAGCTATTTCTTGATCTCGTTGCCCATCTAAACATTGAAAATGCTTGCTCCAGTCTTATATACCCCGTTCGATTGCCCTTGTCAAATCCTCATTTGCAAATTTCTCCACCAACTTCAATGCATCCTCTATCTAGGTACTGTATATAAGCACCTCATTCAGATAATGTAATCACTTTTTCAAACAACCAATCTGATCTCATGGCTGATAAAGCCTTTACAATGCATCATACAAGGATCTCACTGCTTCACAAAATGTTGATGCACAGAGTTACACTGCATGGTAACTAAAACTTCAAAGACTAAGACTTCAAAGGACAACTAAGACCAGAAGTAAAACAGTCCAGCTCAAAATCATCACAAGATATCATAAATGCTGCCCTTCTAATGAAAAGCATCAGTGAAAACAAGCATACTCTTTTAGATAAAGACCATGAGGATACTGGTATGGGAGAAACAGAGCAGAAGAAAATGATCTACAAAGCAGCTTAGATTATCAGACTTAACATAAGTAAATGTAAAGGCATTTCAGTCCTTCTCGTACAAACCTTAGACCTTACACTGCATTTGGCAAAGGCAATCATGTCTGAAAATCTGTACTTGTTCCTCAGGTGAACCATAAGTAACTGCAACAAAAATGCTTCAACTGTGGATTGTAAAAACAATTTTGATGAAAAGCTGGTTCTCATGATGCTTCAAGATCTGATCCATTTTCATCACAAACTAGAATCAAAATACCAAGACATGCAAGTCTGGAAGTTGTTATCAGGTATCTTACATACTCCAAGTTACTAATAACAGTGCTGAATGGGAGGGGTTACTGTGTTTCCTTTGATATTGAGACAATTAACACTAGTTTAACCCTGAATATTATTGTTAAAAGAAGAAATAAAATATTACCTATTACTCCAGAAAATATAATTGGTTTTATCTTACCTAACATTTCTCCATTACAGCTTCATCGGGGCAAACAAGACACTTCACAACTGATTTAGGCTTATACAAAGGTCTAGTATAAGCTGAATTCGTTAGCTTGCCAGGTAACATGTGACAAGAAAAAATGCATACATTACCTTGAATGCTCTCACAACAACAGGCTATTTTCCAGGCTCCAATAAGGACTTCCTAGAGTCCATACATGATGTTAAGGATGAATTAGACATCCTTTACAGCAACAGATTAAAGTGTATGCAATAGAAGGTGAAGAAAGGTTCACTAGCTACTTCTATGCACAGTATTGTAACAAAAGGAAAGAAAAATTTATTAACGTTTTTACAGATGACAATGGTCCCACAGTTTCTCCAACACAAGAAATGTAAAACATTGTGACTGAGTATTTTAAGAAAACATTTGCATTGAGGGTAAAGTAAAGAGAAAAATGGTAGTCTATAATAGCCAACTTGCCCAACATACATCAACAGTTGAAATTTTAAGGTGAACAGTTAACACAAGAAGAATGCTGGAAATCATTACAGTCCTTGGGCAAGGATAAATCATCTGGACCCAATGGCTTAAATGTTGAATTCTACAAAACTTTCTGGCCAACCAGGGAAGCATTTTGTTAAAATACTAAATTCTCATCTACATAATAAAAAGTTACCAAAATCATTTTGGGATGGAACCATAACTCTTATCCTTAAACACAGCGAGGCATGCAACATTAATGACTCTAGATCCATTACATTATGTAATGTCAAATACAAAATACTAGTGAAGGTAATGCAAATATAATTACATCCTTTTATGGACCAACTCATCACATCATCACAAACCTATGCAGTCCAAGGATATGATATCTTTCTCAACATTACCTCTGTTAGAGACATTATTCACATGTCAAACAAAAATGGAAGTCTTGTGTGAATCATCTCTACTGACCAAGAGAAGACTTTACATTTCCTGGATCATGGATTCATAGTGCATGTTTTGAAAGCCCTACAGACTTCTTAGATATCATCAACATGATGTACTGGGATACAACATCCAAGATCCACATTAACAGACATTTTTCTACAGATATCCCTTTAAAATCTGGGGTTTATCAAAAGTGTCCCTTGTATGTATGTTCTGATATTTGAGGATCTCTTGACAAATATCAATATGGACAAAGAGATCCAGGATATCCCATTTCTGGGAAATTTCTTAAACCAACACAAATGTTTAGTCCATGCCAACAAAGTCACACTCATCTTGTCAGCAGAGGGGTCTATCAGCTGTTCATTACATATTTTTAGAGTTCGGCAAGGACTCTGGTGCTAAAATTAACTTTTCTGGGGTGATGTTCCCTCCCCCCTCAAATAATGACATAGCTACCATTAAAAAATGTTTTCCATTTCATCTAAGATGGTAAGCTGGAGTTGATGTCGAGATACACATTTAACAGGTACACAAATCTAGGGAACCTTGGACTCTCTGATCTAAAAACACTAATAGTTTTCCTCATGGCACACATATATTTGAAGACTTTCCAGTTAGTTATCTCTTTGAAGTACCATACAAGAAGAATTTGTTTGGAAACATTAAACTTATTAGTTCTGACCAAAGAAAACTTACAAATCACACTTGGAAAATATAACATCAGATGGGAGTGACATCTGTATTTGACAAGTTACTGTTTAAACTGTGTCAAATTTCTAGCAGTACTTTTCCCATAGTACAATCAAAATCTGATGTTTATGAATAATAAATGAAGTGTGCATTAAAATGATAAAAGAAAATGCAATACAAAGCAAACAACATGCTAAACATAATGTGGTGTTTTTCTAACAAACTTTGTTACTTTAATTATCTCCTGTAACAAAAACATAAAGCTGGCTACGGGATGTAATAAATTAAATTAAATGTTATATGAAACATGATAATCCTTTAGAAAGACAAAAGTTCTATAAAAATATAATACAAGGTAGTGAAAAATGTAAAAGGCATTAATATGACTAGAAATTAATAATGAAAACTAATGTAACTAAACCAAAGAGGTAACATCATATTACATATGGAACTGTGATATAGCTAATATTAAATATATATATATAATAATTTACAAGAGGTGAAACCAGTGGTGGTAAATATACTAATATTGAATACTATTACCCTAAACAATATCCCAATCAATTAAAGTGTAGGCATGAAAGTTTTTAAAAAGGTCATGATACTATGCAAAACTTATAAACCCATAATTTATAGCAAGAATATTGATGAATTTCCCTTACAATTGAATGAATTTAGTATTTAATTTGTGTGATGAGAAACCTTGATTAAAAAAATGTGGGTGACTTTAAGCTTTATCCAGAGAATCTTATAATGATAAATAAATTGTGTCTTATAAACTGAAAGTAGTAAACATTGTAATATAACTTATTTGGAGTATTTGTATTTGGGAAAAGAAATTTATAGCTTCTAAGTTGAAAATTTCTATTTTATTGAAAACTTTAAACTTGAACATCAGGTTAATGATACTGATATCTAAATCAAGATAGTTTATTTTAAGTGGAAGAGCTTTTATCCAGAGTGTACTCTGATGGTTTAATTTTAAGACTTGACTAGAAAAACCTTGATAATTTGGAATAAGAATATCTATCATCTATATATTTACTATTGTCTTTCTTAATAAGGTTTATAGTGTAAGAAAATTATATTCCAAATAAATACAAATCTGCAACTTGCAGGCTGAAGTTACCTCACATTAGAACTCTCTGTATGTGTTGCAAGAAAAGATGCAAAAACATATCATGCATTAAAATTATATGGCCTACAAGAATTATTTAATGTGAAACAATGGTAATTTTTGTGAGTGCTACTGTCATAGAAAGTTCTCTTACTGATGCAGAGTAGTAATTCACCCAAATTATTAAATGGCCTTGAAACTGTTGACGAAACTAGTGTTTCATCCTCAAAACCTTTAGTTGTCTCTTTACATTAAATGGAATTACTGATGATTATGATGGATTAATACTTGTTCTCTCTATCATAACACTGCAGTATTTCTTTAAATGTTCTTTAATGTATTTCAGACCATTACCTATCACAATTGACAAATCCAAGGTTATAGCAATTTTAGCACCATCAATAAACCTCTATTTGTAGTGTTTTAAGTAACTTGAGAATACAAAATAATTTAGGTGCAGCATTATTTGATTTACCCAAATGCACAATATAAATGAAATGTGTTTATTTATGATACTTTTTAATGTGTTTATAAACCTCATTATCCAAAAAGTTTAGTGTATTCAAATTAAACCCTAGTTCTTTATATAGTTATAATACAAAAGTTTTTGTAAATGAAAACATTGTTGTTAACTGCTACATCTACGGGAGTGATGAATAACTACTATATAAATCATCTAAGTAATTAATAATTTCTTTCTTACCTGTGACATGTTCATTGTTACTAATAGTGAATTTCTTTGCATGCATTTATTGATTATGCCTTTAACTTTACTTACCCTGTTTCTAAACAGGATTACTTTTATTAAATTATCTTTTCTACTCCATTTATGTAAAACTTTACTGAGTAATGAAATAATGACTTTTTTGGTGTGATTCCACTTGCTTTTCGGCCATTCTCAGAATTTTGGACCTTTACTCATTAGAAATCTTAAATATTTGTTAGTAATGATATCATAGTGACCAATGAACACATGATCAATGGGAGAATAAATATAAAGGGATAAATTATATTTGCATTTATTGGATAAGATGTGCTATTGGTTATGTTACCTAACATTTTATTATAAAATAAAGATGTTACTGTCAATGGCATTCTTGCAAGAATAGTTAATAGTTGGGTATTGAATTTTAAGTGTTAGGTAATAAATGTCATATAGAAGTGCCTCTGACTATTGATTCAAATTTTATTATTTGTATAATCCTTTCAATAAATGGAACTGTAAGGTAAACCTTATTCTTATGTGCATTAGCTGTTGTTATTTAAGCTTAAGTGATAATAAATGGCAGATAATAGCTAGTATACACTGCTTATCAAACTTGATGATACAAATATTTGTGTTTGGTTGAAAAAGGTAAGTTTAATAAACATCTAGTAGGTCTCAGAGTAAACTATCCTGTGCTTTAGCCCTGTTTTTCTATGTTTGCATCCATGACTATGTGACAGATGTGCAAGTAATTAATTAAAAATATGTATAAAGTTTTATGAAATTTCCAAGTTTTGTGAATTTTTTTGGTACTAAAACAAAGAATGATGCGTTACACAGCTCTGGACTGGGTATTACTGAATGAAGCTATTCTTATTGAAATAACGGAAATCCAATGTGATTTTTGCAACTTTTCCAAGAGTTGTATGATTCAATGCCTTAAAGAAAAATCTGTGACCACAATTTATGTTTACAACATACCTTAAAATGTTTAGTACAGGGATCATCTCTTCCAGAAAATCAAATCAAACCTTTTCCTTAAGGGGTGTTGATCAAAGTCTGAAAACCCATCGTACTCCTCCTAGACTAACTCTATCATAGTTATTTTGATCTCAAAATTAAAATTAAACTTACTCCATCTGTCTGGTTTAATGATTTTATCTGGTAGAATCACGAAGTGAGTTTGATTCCCTAAAAAAAGTAAAAGCTCAGTAGATGTCACATATAACCATCTAAACTTTCCTATATTTAATAATGCTATAAGTCAGCGTTAAGATACTTCTGTCTGTACTGTACATTGTCAAGTGACCACTCTAAATAATGCTATGAGTCAGAAGTTAACAATTTTCTAAATTGAAAATGTGTTTCCAATAATACTTACCTCTGCCGACACTTACAGCTATTACTTGACTGCCAGGGTTTCTTTCTGTGCCCAGCATTGGTCTGATTTTTTCTCGCTTGCTCCAGTCTTTTATACCCCACTAAATTGCCCTTGGTGATATCTGTCTCATGACACTCTCCATCTACATGAATGTGCCCTCTATCCTGGTGCTGTATAAAAGCACTTCATTCGCATAATGTTATCACTTTTTCAAGACTGACTCAATTCACAGTCTCTAACACTGACTCTTAGTAAAGAGGAAGGGCAGGAGAGTGTTAGGGGAGGTAAGTATGATTGGAAATACATTTTCAATTCAAGAAAATGTTAACTTCCAAAACATACATACCTCTTCTCCCACTTATAGATAGAATCTCACATTGAGAAGGTGGAGGGGCCAGTGAGGGCAATTATCCATACAGAAAGCATCTGCAAACATCATGGGTGTGTGAATAGAAGATTGGCACCCTGGTGGAAGAACTGTACTACATCCAGAACAGGTATGCTTATTACCTTAAACTTAATTCCTGTATTGTGGGTGGAATTGTACACGAGTAGTAATCACCATCAGTCAGCCTCAACTCGGGGTTGAAATTAAGGGGTCTTGGTCCCTATATTCCACATTGGTGGCTAGGGAAATTAGACTGCAACATTATATATATATACTTATGAGTAGATTCCAACCTGTAGCCAAGGAGTGATGTATTCAGAGCCTCCAGAATCACAACATGAAAGTAAGCAACACTGAAGTGGACAAATCTTCTCCTCCACCTGAAGAAGCCCAAAAGATAATACCCCAGGTTCGGAATGACAGGATTGAATATACCATAGTGACCCAAAGGAAACAGGACTAATCCGGTCTGGAATTATGTACATTCATCCTCACTCCCCAACCATGTGAGATAGTTACATTCCCGCTTGCCCTCAAAATTATGGGGAGGACATGGAACCACTGTGCTCAAACAAGGACCCAGCATGGGACCACTCCACACTCAGAATGACAAAGAGATAGTGGACCCTCTTCCATGAACAAAGTACTGAATCCATATTAATCATACAGATAGGTCATGCACACCCCAACCGGATAGCGAAGTGTCAAATCTGAACTGGTATTCGAATAGGCTCACACACATAGGCTGGTGCCACTCCTATCAACATCTGGGAAAAACACCCATGGCTCCCAACTTCGCCTTATTCTCCAAGATTGGAGGAATTCACTCTAACACTATGGAGGAAATGCCTCTGTCCACCACCCCAGTGACTGAAAACCAGGTATGGTAAGGACTCTCTAGGTCCACTAGTAGAATCTGTGGGTTAATGTGCATTGGGGAGTCCTGAGGAACAATGCTCTGGAAACAGTGCATTAGGTGAACCAAGTTTCCTAAATTTTTAAAAGCAAACTGACCCTGATCTATTCAATCCAATGATCAGCAGGGATGGGTAGGATCCCCTTATGCTTTACTCATGACAGTCCATGAGTGGCAGTCCAGCATAGTACCCTAATACCACCTGGTCAGCTCCTAGGTGGTCTTATGGTACACCTCATTTCTACAGAGCCTGTTGCAACCTTTATAAAGTATACTGATAGCAATTGCTAGTGTGGAATTGGTTTGATAAAAACACGCATTTGCCTGGGCAACAATCACCACAAAGTGAGATCCTGTGAAAATGAGGTAAGGGACCCTGAAAGGTAAAGATGAGACAAGCATAGCAATGAAAATACTCACCCACTCTGTATAATCTAGCTGAAGTGGTTAAGATAGCTACAAGGGGTAGTCAAATACCCTCAGATCATCTAAAAGTATTGAGGAAGGTCCACATACCAGCCCACACAATGTCTTCCAGTGGGCAATTCAACTAGGCTGCTAAGAATATAGAAATGTGACTAATCTGATTACATTTGACTTGTGGAAGATTCCTTGCCTCCAAAGAGAGCCCAGGATAAGCAATATGGAACAATTGCATACCCACCTTGTCAATGTAACCAGGGATGAATCCTGGGAAACTGAATGATTTCAATTAATAAAAAGTCATTGTCTCAACACTCTAAAAGCATTTGTGTGGGCAACAAAACCTTCAAGACCCTTACTGGACAGAACAAAGGATTGAAACCTGATTGGTTATAGAAGTGAGAAATAGTGATCAAATGAACTGGTGATCAGATCAACTGGTTAGCAGCCATGAAAAATAAACCTTCAGGTAAGGGTAATACATGACATATAATGCTAAGGTTAGAAGTGGGTGTTGAGAAAAGGCATATAATGTAACCTTAATATACTAGTTAGTTAACTGGAATGGTTATTTAGGACAAAGCACCCAAAGCAACTTGAGAAAGCCAGGGAGTACTGGGGACCCAAAAAAGTTTTATCTCAATGATAAACGGTAGTCAATAAGACTGCCATATACAGGACAATTGCAGAAGATGCAGAACCCTTGCCAAAGGGTCAGGTAAAATAAACGGTTATGGTTGGCACGTCTAAGTGAAATGGGTCCAACCTCCTCTCAATACACCATGGCCGAAATGTGTGCTATTTCCATTAAAAAAGGTCCACTGTGAGACTAAGCAAAGATAGGGACTGATAGATGGCAATCCTAGAAATGAAACCCCAACACCATACAAAGGACTGCATAACCTCCATCCTTAAGGTACTGCAGAAGCAGAAACCAGGGTGTGGCTGCCAATCTAGTGCTACCAACAGAACCCAACAATGGGTTGAAGCAAATCATAGTGAGTACCTTGGATAAAATATGAATAGGAAGAAATTTCTACAGTGGTAATCCCATCCAGTCCTGACAGAATGCATCCATTGCCAAAGCCTAAAGGTGAGGTACTGAAGACTAAATTGCCAGTAGTTGGATCTTCCAATGAGAGGTCAACACACTAATCATTAGTGTTTCAAAAGGAGAGCCAATCCAACAGGAAACCTTGAAATGTAGCACCTATTCTGTTGAGAGAATCTGGTTGGGTCAAGACAGTTGATCAGATACTGCAGTCATCACCTGTGGAATATGGCAAGCTAAGAGTGTGATATGATAGGAGTGGTCCCGATAAAGGAGATCCAAGGTTTGAAAACAAAGAGCTCTGGACCAAGTGCCCTTTGACGAGAAATGCAAGACACCACTGTGGAAGTGTCGGAGTGAAGCCTGAAGATGTTCCCCTTAATAAGCCCAGACCATAAGGCATCACCATTTGTCGATCAGGATGGGATGATGAGAGACCAGTCAGCTCGCTAGCTATCAACCATATTACATGCCAGTATGCAGTCTGTCTCATACCCTACGCCGCCGTTAATCATTGACAAACTACAACTCGACTTCTTGCCGCGAGACACGGCTAACTTCATCCGCCACTACAAGCCTCAAGCCCAAGTATTCCCTGAATGCACCCGACATCTACGAATGGGAGGTATACTCCTCCAACCCAAGTCACTCGAAGACTTTCGCCACCCTTGGTATTCAAACCCTCCCATCACTTGCCAACCCCCCAAGAGCAATGCCAGTCTCCACACAATATTTCTCAAGAACGTTCATTTATCCTTCACGCCAGACAAAATACATCAAGCCCTTGAAGTTACAACCAACTCTACGATTCACGCAGTCCACCGGATCCAGTCAAAGAAAACAGGTTCACCCTCCACGTTCATGAAAGTTGTTACAACTTCCAAAACTACAGCAGATTTCATCCTCACCCATGGCTGCTACCTTGATTACAATCACTTTAAGGCAGAAAAACCTTACTGTAAGCCTCACCCACCCCATACCTTTCCTAACCTACCACCCAAGCAGTCGTGGGAGG